CTCTGTCTTCCTCACTTTTGGCCTGTAAAGTTGCCTGGAGCACTAGATAGGATTTAAGTGCACCTTGGTAGTGATTGTTGCAAATTTTCCAGTGTTTCAGCTGGGTTATTTATAGGGCTCTCCTCCCGTAGGTGCTGGGTCACCTATACTTTCAGTAATTGCTTACAGGCTGACAGGTCATCTTTTAAAAAAAGATTCACTCTCTTTTCATCTATTACATCTATTACATCCTCTATAGCAGGAAGTCAAATGTGGTTTCCCAATCTTAAAATCTCCTTTCTGGCTATTTATGCTGATTTCAACTTCCTTGCTGAGCTTCACCCCACGGCATCTTCCAAAAATGTGGCACAAAGGTTGAGCTTTTCTGTTCTTCTGCTCAGAATCCTTCCTTCCACCCATGGTTCCTTAGCAAGGCATGGGAAGAACACCCATAGAATCACTGAATTTGGAAAAGACCTCTGAGATCAAGTCCCCCCTGTGCCCGATGCCCCCCTTGTCCCCCAGCCCAGAGCACTGAGTGCCATGGCCAGGCCTTCCTGGGACACCTCCAGGGCTGGGCACTCCAAACCTCCCTGGGAGCCCCTGCCAAGGCCTCACCACCCTTTCCAGGAGGAAATTCCTCCTGCTGTCCAACCTGAGCCTCCCCTGGCACAGCCTGAGGCCGTTCCCTCTCCTCCTGGCCCTTGTTCCCTGGGAGCAGAGCCCGACTTCCCCCGGCTCCCCCCTCCTGTCAGGGGGTTGCAGAGCCAGAAGGTCCCCCCTGAGCCTCCTTTTCTCCAGGCTGAGCCCCCCCAGCTCCCTCAGCTGCTCCTGCTGCTCCAGCCCCTTCCCAACTCCCTTCCCTTCCCTGCTCACGCTCCAGCCCCTCTGTGTGTCCCTTGTTGAGGACCCGAGGGTGGCACTTGGCCTTGTCCCTCAACCCATGGATCCACATGGCACACGAGCAAAGCAAATACTTTCCCATTTGTGATAAAAATGAGGTGATGGGTGCTTTACATGGAGTCAGAGGTAATCCTTCCTTCTCGTGTGGGAAGCCCTAAATTAAGAAATAGCATTACAGTGATTTTCCAGGATGCTGGGAAAAGTCATGTGGAAACAGATTATTTGTTGTTTCTGCTATACAATCGCAGGATCAATCTAACCAAATAAAATGCTGTAATCTGATTTGATATAAATGGCTGCTGACATTCATACAAAAAGCCTGAGTCATTACTTAGCTTATTCTGTACCCCTTACTCTTATCACAAAAGATTGAACGTTAGTGACTGTACTGGTGAGTCATACTTATTCACTTATGTTTTTTTTCAAATTGTCCATGTATTTGATTTTTTTTAAGAGGAATTGGCCAGGTTGATATAAACAACCTCCTTTTAATGATTTTTCTTACAGTTGTGAGAACGTATTCTGGTGATGAGATTTATCCTGGGTTGTGCTTTACTCACTTCCAGAGCTTTTCTGCTCGTCACACTAACTCTGGAGTAAGCTCATGCTCAGCATGAATTGAGAAAATCCCATTATTGTTCCTGTCCTTTGCCTTGACATATCCTGTAAAACTGAGCTATCTGTAGGAATTTATTAGGTCAACACTGAGAATGAAAATGTTCCTGTAATAATCTTTGTGTGTGTGTGTAACTTCTTTCTGTACAGTAGCTCTGCTGTTGTTGGTCTCCTCAGACAATAATCCCCTCTCCATTTCAGTCTGTCACCACAAGTGAAAGTGAGCTGAGATCCCAAAAGACTCTTGATTTAACCAGTGATCCACCTATCCACTGATAGCTTGGTACTCATGATGTCTGAAACTGTGCCTAACAATTAAACACTCAGACTGATGGAAGTAGAGTTCATTTTTGGATGAGAGTGAGATTTAGGCACTTAGAAGGGAGCTGTCTCTATATTGCATGACCAGGCTAAACTGTGGCCTGTTCAAGAGGCTGTTTGGTGTGGTAATTTGTAAACTTGGACACTTGTCAATAAAACAACAGGAATCCCAGAATGGTTTGAGTTGGAAGGAACCTTAAAGCTCATCCAGTTCTACCTGCTGCCGTGGGCAGAGACACCTTCCACTAGCCCAGGTTGTTCCAAGCCCTGTCCACACAGTATTTATGCTCATGTTGCTGCAGCAGCACAGCCTGTAAGGTGCTTTTCCTTTAGGAAGGAATGCTGTCAGCCCTCGGAACGGCACAGTCACAGATAATGTGGTACCACCAGATATCAGGGAAACAAAACAATCTGTGTTAGTAATATCAGAGTGTCCTTGCAGATGTGCTCAGAGGCTTCCCCTGCATCTGTCAAGGGTTGGACTCTCCAGCTCAAGTGCAGGTCTTTGTGTGTGCTTGTGCTGCAGCCCTTAATTAGCTGAAGATCGACTGGAGCAGATCCGATGGGCTGAGGGCAGAGCTCACCGGGGTCTGCAGCTCCAATCTCTGCTCTGTGGGGACCTGGGACAGGACCCAGGGAAGGGCTGGAGCTGTGCCAGGGGAGGTTTAGGTTGGATCTCAGGGAAAGGTTCTCCCCCCAGAGGGTGGTTGGGCACTGACCAGGCTCCCCAGGGCAGTGGGCACAGCCCCAAGGCTGCCAGAGCTCCAGGAACGTTTGGACAATGCTCTGAAGGGACAGGGTGGGATTGTTGGGGTGTCTGTGCAGGGCCAGGGGTTGGTCCTTATGGGTCTTTTCCAACTCAGGGTATTCTGTGATGGTATGAAGACTCTTCCATTAGGCTTTGTGGGATGGACGATATATATGGGCAGTGTTGAGATAATTTTGGGATCACAGCTCTCTTTACTGTAGTAAACGTTCTTCAAGACTTTCTTCATGGCTCTTGGTGGGTGTAATAGGGACCTTCTGGTAGTGCTGTATTTGGCTCCTCTGCCACAATAAAATTTTTAGATATGGAATCTGTTAACCCAAACTCCATGGATAATGTAGTGTGAGCTTGTCAGGGTCAAGTAACTCTGACAGGAATGAAGTCCAATGTAAAGGACGTAGGTAAGTATTTAAGTCACTTAAACATAGGCGTCTGCTGCTTCTTCAGATGTTGGCTTCTGGAAGGGCATGAATATGTGTCTGTCTGCCAGGTGCTCTCATGTCTGAAATGGCACTGGATGCCTGGGTTTGGGTACCTGCCTCTGCTTAGTGCATCCTGAAAGACTGACAAGACAGCAAAGCAAGAGCTCCCATTTGGAGTAACACCAGCAGGAGTTGGGGTGGGATGTGCCGTATGGAAAACCAGGATATTGGGCTTTGTCTGTCACATCAAGGCTCCCTGGCCCTTTTGTCCCTGTTGAGAGCTCTGTCCGTGTGTCCTTCCCTCGCAGTGAGCGCGGGTGTGTTTGGGAGGCAGTTGGTGATGACGTGATCACATTTTTGTCTGTCTGCACCATCCTTGTCTCATCCAACATGGAGGGCAGATGGCACCTGGGGATTCATCACGGCCCTGTAGTCAAAGAGGCTGTTGTTTGCAGCATCCCAGATGTGTTTCCTGCAGATGTTGAAATAAATGAGGCGGGGGGTAATAGGAAAAGAGAGGATGATCTCATGTCTAAGCCAGTTCAGTGATCATCTGGGGAACTGGAACTCTGCCTTTAGGATGCAAGACAAACAACTCGAACCAGGCTTAACCTGTTTTCTTAGTTCCATGGACAGAGCAATATCCTCAGCTTGGTTTTGTGTATCCTCTCAAATTGAATGTGGTGCTTGTTGGTAGTTGGCTGTGCACTTAGGGGAAATGTGTATTTTCTGGTTTATGACTTAAAAAATTCCTGTTCATGGCAGTGTTTGGATAGCTCTTGCTGTTCCCTTTTCTGGATCGCCTTTGAATTCCAGCAGTTCCTCCAAAACTGATATGGCTGGGCACGTTTACTCCAGTGCTGAATTCTTATTCAGACTTCCTTAGATAAAAACAAATAAATAAGCCCAGGGTGATTTCTAGCCTCAAGCTATTGTTAAGGCTGCCAGGAAAGGGTGGTCAGGCACTGGCCCAGGCTGTCCAGGGAAGTGGTGGGTTAGTGGTGGACCTGACTGTGCTGGATTAATGGTTGGACTCGATTATCTTGGAGGGCTTTCCCAACCTTAATGATTCAGTGATTAGTGAAGGAATATTGTAATGTTCCAGTGATCATAACAAAACTAGATTGTTATTGTAATGCCTGCACATAATTGCTTGAGAGCCAGGAGTTTGGGAGTGATATAAATCATCATTCTTTAGGGCTTATCCTGCCGCTTCAGAATTGAGGATTAGGAATCATTTCCTTGAGACCAAGCCCCACATGGTGCTTTGCTTCTTTTCACTGTGAAGTTTTTGTGATGGTTCAGGTCTGATCATGGTCCAGCTGGATCTGAGAACTGATTCTGTGCAGCAGTCCCCATGGATTTTTAGAGATGCAGAAAGGAGTGACCCCCCCTTTGATGGTTGGAAACAGTTCTGAAGTTGAAGGTCTCTGGTGGCCCCTGATATTCACCAAGTGTTCAGAAAGCAGTGGCCTATGAAGAGTCTGTTTAAATCCTTCCAGCTGATTTGCAGTTTGCCTGTCACAGCCTCTTGAGCATCTCCAGAGAGCTGGGGTGGCCTGGAGGTGACACACAGCTCCGGTTGGAATTGCCTTTCTGGGTTTCCAGAGGGCACTGTTGCTGCTCCTTTAGAGTTCTCAGTCCTGGTTTTAACTAGGATTGTAATGCATGGAAGCATATACATTAGAATGGATGTAAGGGATGAATGTGATGCCTCTCTTCTTTTGTTTGTCTGTAGAATACTGGGATGACTGGAATTCAAGATATTTGATTCCCACTCTTACCCTGAGGTGGAGGAAATAAGCACGAGAAATTTCTACAGCTCAGGCAAGTAAATATCTGTATCTCCATAGTTTATTGAAATTAATTGCTTGGTAAACAAGTGAGTGCTGGGAACCTTCCTAGAGCAGAGGAACTGATTTGTGCAGTTACAAAATACAGTTTAAAAGGAACATAAGAATTTTAATTGTATTTTTTTCTTTATTTAGTAGGGAAAGGATCTTTCATACTGAACTCTGCTCTGAAAAACGAGAAAGCCTCTCCTCTGTGGAATTGAAATAGATATTTGACAGTTGCCTTGAATAAAAATTAAGCAAAAATGTCTGTCATAGATCCTTACCAGCACATTGTGGTAAGTAGCTCTGAATCTTCTGCGTATACTGTCTTCTATAATATATCCTGTCTTGTATAATGTGTTCTACTAGAGGTTACTCTAAATAAGCATGTAACATTGCAGTTGTTACTAATTCCTTAAAGAAATGGTGTGTGTAACTTTATCCCTTACAGTACAATTCTTTTGGGTACAGTTCTATTAACTGACTAACTCTTTCCCTTTTCGTTAGTATGGATAGAGGGGTGAATTGACAATTTTGGGTATTTAAATCTTAAACTAGTGTATATCAGTGATGTTGGTTCAAAGATAATCTTCAGAATACATCCTGCAAACTCAAGGTCTGAGTGAAATGGTCTGTGCTACTCAACAGCAACTGCTGCTGAAAGCTCCTACTCCCCCCTTCCTGCTTTATCCCAGTGTTCCTGCTGCATCCCTTGTCCCAGCTATCAAACCCATGTCTTTAGGGAGACAATAGACCTTGATGAATTGGCAGAAAAAACTGTTCAATACAAAAATAGACCTAAAAAAGTTATTAGTAAGGGATTCTTGGCTGTGAGGGTGGGGAGGCCCTGGCACAGGTTGCCCAGAGAAGCCGTGGCTGCCCCTGGATCCCTGGAAGTGTCCACGTCGGATGGGGCTTGGAGCAACCTGGGCTAGTGGAAGGTGTCCCTGCCCATGGCAGGGGGTGGACTGGTTGATCTTTAAGGTCCCTTCCAACCCAAACCATTCGAGGATTTAATGGAATGATCAGAAAATCCATTTTGTGCTGTCAGAGCTGGCCCAGGGGGAGGGTGGAGCCACGTGAGCACAACCTGTGTAGTGGAGAAGTAGGGACAAGAGAAGGAGAAGGGAAATGGGAGCAGAACTGCCCTTTGTGGGGTGAGGCAGTGGCTCGCTGAACACTGGGATATTCACATGTAGCTCTCTCCTGGAAGTGACTTTCCGAAGTAAACACTGCAATGGCAATTCCTGCTCAGACTGAAATCTGGAGCACACCGGGCGTGTTCCTATCACGGGCTTCTCGTAAGAGCCCCGGGATCCCCCAGCAGGAACAGTGACGTGTACCCAGAGATAACCACACTTGTCAGAGTGCTGTGCTTCTAAAACGTGGCTAAAAATACACCCTGTGCTTCCTTGAAGTGATCTCTTATCAGTGCTGTGGTTTGTACCCCACGCACTCACATCCTCTGCTCCAGTTTGCAGCCAGCACATGCCAGACTGGGGTTTGCTCTCCTCCACAGGCCTGTGAACTCAGCTGGAAGGACCAACTGCAGGTTGATGTCTGTGTTTAACTGTGTTGCAACAATTCACTGACTTGCTCCTTTTGGCATCAGTGCCCTCTCCTGGATGGAATGCTTGGAATGATCTGTACCTTTATGGGAGGGGTCTCTGAGGCACTCGGTTATAGTTCATTGAATCATTCCCATAAAAGATCTTTTGATACCAGTATATATTGTAATAAACACTGTCAGTGCAAAAGCTGATCTTTTAATTGCTTGAAAAGTGAATGGAAATCTTCTGAGGTTTCTTAATTTGAAAATTGAAATTCCATGGAAGTTTTTACTGGAATTTGGAAGGCAGCAGGCTCGTATCCATGCAAAAATCTTGGATTTTAAGAACATTTGGCATTAAAAGACTCAAAAATATTCTCCCTAAAAGTCCTTCTGCTGACTTATGTGTTTTTTCTGATCTTTTTATTTGTCTTTTTTTCACATTTTGTGAAAGACTCTGAGGAATAAAAAGCTACTGGAGGTGCAGACTGTGCCAAAAAAGCTTTAGATTTAGAGACTTAAGCTGTGTAATGCATCTTTGGTTACAATGATATGGGGCATAACTATTATAACAATGGGAAAAATGGCTTCAAGGTAAAATTGTGTGTGTGAGCACAAATGTTTGTCTGAATTGAAATACCCTGTGAAAGAAGAGCATGGATTCTGAAAATCTATTACTTAAGTAAACGGGCAAATATTGTCATTTGTCCAGCCCAATTGTGAGCTCAAATGACCTTAACATTGAGGAAGTAAAACTATTAAATGCTTATGCAATCTGCCTGTGCCAGAGCTTCCTGATTGGGGTTGGTGTGCAAGGATGGAGTTGTGTTCTGTGACTCAGCATTCTGGAATACACAAATATGATATTGGATACATGTAAATTCCTCCTTCTTGGCAAGTCTGGAAAGTCTGTAGGTAAAACCCGCCTGCGTTCCGGGAGACTTTGGTGTGAGGTTGTTTCCCAGCCCCAGAGTGGGAAGGTGATGGTGTTTGTGTGCTCACAAATATGTAAAAGATGCAAAATATGTTAAGGGGAGGAAAGCAGATAATTAGGGAAATTTTACTGGAAGTAAAGCAAGCAAAGGTGAGGGAGGAAGAAAGGAGGCAGGGGAGGAGTTAGGAGAGATGGAAAGGTGTGTGAGAACAGGAGATGTTGAATCGTGACTGGACAGGATACTTGGAACCCCAGAATCCCAGAGCATGCTGAGTTGGAAGGGACCCACAGGGATCATCAGGTCCAACTCCTGGCCCTGCTCGTGCCCATCCCCAGGAGTCACCACACCATGTGCTTGAGAGGATCATCCAAGCACTCTTTGAGCTCTGGCAGCCGTGGTGCTGTGCCCACTGCACTGGGCAGCCTGTTCCAGTGCCCAGCTGGGTGAAAACCAGTATTGAACCAGTAGAGTGAATACTGCCCACAGGAGTCCCGTAATTTAGAAACCCCATGCTCAGAGAGGGCAGGTTGAAAACGTTTCTCTCCTTTCTTCTCTACATTTATGGACAACGAGGAAGTGAGGTGAAATGCACCTGTAAAGCGAGGCCACTGGATGGTAGGTTTGATTTTTTTAAATTCATCGAATCCCAGAATGGTTTGGGTTGGAAGGGACCTTAAAGCCCATCTCATTCCACCCCTTGCCATGGGCAGGGACACCTTCCACTAGAATTAATTGTGAGTTTTTGAAATTTGTAACCTGTCGTCAATTTTTGAAGGAATGCAGATGTTGCTCCACTCAATGTTGCAACGTTTAAGTGATTTATTTACCATCCTCTGTTTTTCAGAAGTACTTGAGGAGTTGGCAATGTACAGATTTTTATCAAGATTTAAGGTGAACATAAGTCACTTGAGAAAATGCAGCTTAGTCATCTAAAGCAGCAAGGGCTGGATTTGTAGAGGTATTCGGAGTCAACACATTTCTTGTGGTGTTTCCAGGGGGCATCTGATGCCTTCAGAACTCACTCCAAAAACTAACCAAAAAATGCTTCTGAAATGTGGACATTTAGTCCTTTTAATCCCCTTAGAAACTGGATCCGAAGTGGAAAATTGCCTTAATTTCCCATTGTACTTAAAGTTGCGTGAAAAACGTTTATTTTGGTGTAAGAAGAGATCTGGACTTTGGAGCTTCCTGTGTTTCTCTGTATATTTTTCTTTTTACAAACAGGGAGATCATTTATTTTAGTAGTTACAAATTTCTTCCAAGTGTGTCATTATGGCCAAATATTAATAACTCTTTATAATTATAATCCTCAGTGTGAGGCATGGGGAAAGGATAGAATGTTTTCCGGTTTTGCCAGGCCTCTGTATACTTGCATTCCTTTCAAAGGATCCCAGATCTTAAACCAGACTTAACTTTCCTGGCAGTATAACAGCTGGAATGGTGGGGGTTGCTGTTTAAGTCAATAAAAAGCAGTTTTTATGATAGTATAACTGTTTAGCAAAACGATTGTTGACTTGTAATAGAAATAGTGATGATCTCTGTCCTGCTGGAATGAGAATGCACTAGTAAGTGGTGGCTTGGTGGTAGGCATTTTATCTAGGCATACAAATGTCATGAGTAGGACTGGGAGATGCAAGAAAATGACTTTACAGAGTGCTTTTTGTCAGGAAGCATCGTGTGGTCTTCTCATTTTCCACCGAGGACTCCGAGGCACCAGAATTGCACATGAATTTCATGTATCAGCTGAGAGCTGAATGCAGCACACCCATGTCCCATCCCTGTCACTTAATTATAACTCCATCCTCCTCGTTGCTAAATGCTTGGTGATCTCTGATTTGTGTTCTCCAGTGAGGACAAGCTCTTTCTTAAGAGCTGAGAAAAAGGAGAAGGGTGGTGTGTTTGTACTTTGGGCTGTTTCTCTTAATTACAAGGTTGTATGTGACAAAGGAAAAATACATCAGTCTGTGAACAAACCGAGGCCAGTGCTGTGTTGTGAAACCAAGCCTTCATCAACCTGACGTGTGTGAAGGTGGCACACACTGATAAAGCAGCTTTGGGTGTTTTTAAGCAGCAAACTGAAAATAGGGGACAGCGAGAGCTGTTGGTTTTGGGAGGTTCACAGCTTGTAAAAATTCTCGGAGCAGGGTGAATGACAGAACTTCACATAACTGTGTTCATGTAGAACCAGCTCTTCGCAGATAGTCACTAAAATCCCCATTTACCCTGCTGTGATGGAAAACTCTGGGCTTTTTTTATGCCTTGTGGCAGAGGCAGAAATTTATTCGCGGAGAAGTCACATTCTCCTTCCCGTTCATCCCTGCACTCTTGGAAGCTGCAGTGCAGAAGGTGATGGATGTCATGGAATCCTGGGTATGTCTCCATGCCAGCACAGGGCAGGCTGTTCAGTAGGTATTGGTTCTTACCAGCTGTGGGTTCCCACACCTAAACCCTTTCTGTTGGGTTTGGTGCTTTGGAGGTGAGCAAACAGTCCCGCTGGGAGGATCAGGCAGAGTCTGAATTCCGCTTTTCCTGTGGTTGGTGAACCACTGAACCAATGAGGGTTTCAGTGCACCACTTGTAAGGTAGTAGCTGGCATTGCCACAGTTTCCCCTGCCTGCTGCCTTGTTCTTTGATCCAGACAACTCCTACAGCTGCCAGGGGAGGAATCCCGGAGCTGCAGTGTGCTGCTGGCCACACAGACACTCATGGATGGAGCCTCTGGCTGTCACAACACGGGGGTGATCACAGCCAAAGGCAGCTGCAACATGCAGTGTCTGGGGCAGGCAGTGGCTGCAGTGAACTCATCCCATGGTATCCCTGTGGGCAGTGTCTCCTGGATGCTTTGCCGTGGGGATGTGGCTGTGCTTTCACACACCTCAGGGTTGTGGAGGGGTTTGGGTTGGTATATGTATCCTGACACAACTATTACTTAGACACTCACAAGCCACTTTTGCTGTCTTTAGTTGGTTTTGGCTTTTTTTGTTTTTTTGAGGAAATGATACGTAAGATACCTCTAAGATAGTATTTTTTTTTATTTGTATTAGAGTGGTCCAGTTTGGTTCTAGACTCTGTGGGTGAGTTGTAGATGAGAAATAATGAGGCTTGGCTGGAACAACCAGTTTTGAAAAAAGGAAGTGTCCAGATGAAAACATAGCAAGAAAGCACCAGGCACAGCCTGAAAAGCATGTCCCATACCAAGGGTATTGTCTGTGGTTTTAAATAAATTCCAGTGAATTTCCTGATTCTGGTCTTTCCCCCTTTTCCTTCTGGTTGGAATACATTGTAAGACACTTGATACTTGTCTAGTTGTTTTGGTCCCAATGACTGATGTGCCAGCTATATCACAAAGTTAATAGGAGGTTAGGAAAAGATAGAAAATATCTCTGTTTCAGTGTTGGAAATGCAAACCTGAGGTATGTTGTAGCAGGGTGTGAGTCAGTGTCTGGGCACTGTGGGCAGCCAGACAGCTCAAGTGTCCTAAGATAGGCTTTTAACACAGCAGTGTAGGTGTAAGGGCTGAGAGGCACTTGTGGGAGACCTGATCCTGCCTCCAGCACATCAGATATACCCACAGTCTCTGTGCTTTGTCCCTGTAAAGCCAGTGTTGTCTGCCCTGCAGTATGCACTGGTCAGTCTCAGAGTTGGTCAAATTTATGGCTATGTAGATAAAGCAACAGTAGATGTGAGTTGGTGACCTCTTTTTATTAAATTTTTTACTTCTGTTTCTTCACATCTTTTGCTACTTCCCTAGTTTGTTCAGGAGAGACCTGCTCCTGCTGTGTGCTTGGGCTTTGCAGGAAACAGGAACCCCCAGAAACCGCATGAAACGTGCTGGGGAATGTTTTAACAGCTGGGTTTTCACCTTCCTTACATTGTCTTAAGGATGCTTTCACACTGAATATTGATGTGTGCTGAAAGGTACACTCCAAGCATCACTCACTCTGTCCCTGGCGCGTGCAGTATGCTTTTATCTGCTCCAGAATGCATACTTGGAAATAATTCCTCCTGTTCTTTGTACCAGGGGAAGGTAATTACAACGACAAGCTGTAAAATAACCCCTTTTTTTATTTTTTCCTTACCGTACCCAGTTGTCCCTGACTGACTAAATGCCTTGGAGCAGGTTGTGGGGAGAGGAGGAGTGTTATTCATTGAGATTAGTAGGTGTGGCTGCAGGAAAATCCAGCAGCCCCAGTGCAAGGTCTGACCTCCCAGTAAAGCTGCAGGGTGCAGTTCAGCTTTAAGATGCTCTATCCAGTATGAGTTTCCCTTACGTTTTGCCTGGGTGATTTCCCTCTCTCTGTTTTTGGACCAAATGAAACCCTATTTTCATAGATTTTTTTGGTGGTTGTTGTTGTTGTTCTTCTGGAGCTTAATCACCTCTAACTCTCTGACTTCCAGGTGGAGCACCAGTACTCACACATATTCACTGTGACAGTAAGGAAAGCCACAAATGTCACCAAGGGAGCCATTGGTGACATGCGTGAGTATTTCTCTTTCTGTTTTGCTCTTTCTTCCATGAGACTGTTGCCGTAGGCAGGGGGAGGTGATGACACATCCAGCTTGTGCATTAAATGATTGTTCCTAGGCTGGGGGTGGTTTTCTGTCTGTCTTGTTAAAGCCAGGGCAGTGTCTCTGTGTCATTGCTCACTCTCACTCGGAGCAGATTTGCTGCTCCTTCTTTCCATTGATCCAGAAGAGCTGAGTGAGTTGTAAACGATTTGCTTACAACAAGCAACACCTACAATTAGCTTTTTGGCTCGGTGTGTGAGTCCTGTGGGACTGGCAGTTGCCGCTGCCTTAGAGGGCTGTGGTTTGCTGGTGGGAACACGTCAAAGGAGAGGAGCCCAGAGCTCTGCTGAGTCAGTGCAGTAAGGAGAAAAAAATAAAAGCCATTTCAAAAACCAACCCAAAATGGGTCAGCAGATCTTGTGGTGGGGAGATACATGACACCAGCACTTCTTCCTCTTTCTGTGAGGCTGCTGGACTGTGTAGCTGAACAGGAAACCACCAGGAAGAACAACCCCTGAAAACTCTTCTCTGCTCTAAAGGGGGGAAGAGGGAGAGAATATTGGCTGAATCTGCAGAAAGAATATTCCCGCTTCCTCAGGTCTAACTGCTCTGCTGCCAGGTCATCTCTCCATTTCCCTGGCACTCCGTGCAGAGCCTGGCATAGCCCAAGGCTGGGGTTGGGAGGGTGAGTGTGGTGCCCTGCTCCTGCTCTCCCATCAGGCTCCTTGGACATGCAAATGCTTTCCAGTTCCTGCTCTGACACTCAGCTTTGCTTCAGTGGGTTAACAGTGGGTTTTCAGACTTAAAGTCTACTGTTGATAGTAAAACTGGGGGAAGGACACTTGGAAGGGGAATGTTCAAGAGCCCCAAGTATGAGGGGAGAGAGGGGAGCCCTGGTGAAGGGAAAAAGAGGGAATTGGGAATCTGTTTAGCATCTCCTGTGGGGTAAAGGATAGAACACCCAGAGAAGATGCAGTGGGGTGTGTATATACATATTTATATAATCTTTATACAAAAAAACCTCAGGAGAAGTGCTGGAAGAGTGGAAGAAGGAGCCCACAGGTTTGTGTGTGTGAGAAGATGGACAACACAGGTTCTCAGACTCAGAGTTCTCTTTTGTGAGGCAGTGTGGGGAACATGGGAAGAGAAAAAAGGAGATTGAAGAGAGGGCCCCATGATATGATATTAAAGGGAGTGAGGAGAGGGTGAAGAAAGCCAGAATACCATGGCATTTTTGTCCACTGTATTCCTATAGAATAAATTCCAAGTGCAATCCATTAATGTAATTTCTTTTTCTTTTTTTTTTTTTCCCAAGAAACCCCACCCTCTTATCTTTGCAAATCATCAAAACCAAAAAACTGCTCAGGGAGAAGATTTTATTTTGATAAAACCTGTCAGAACTAAGGGCTACCAAAACCTGCTTTGTTTCCTGTCTGAGGCAGCTACCAGAGCTCTGTAGCCTGGGGTATCTCTGAGGGAGCTTCCAAGTTCTGGGGCTGGTTCTTGGAGTCCTGGCAAATCCCCCAAAGTGAGAGAAACAGATCGTTGTGTCTGTTTTTATTTTGGGAAAGTGAACAATGTTTTTATTTCCCGGGTTTTTACAAAGCTTGGTGTGTTGGAGCCTGGGAGCTCTTTGATCAAATCAGTGATCATGTTAATTACTGAGGAGAGATGCTTGAAGCTGTGAGTGGTGAAGGGTCTTTACAGTTGATTGTGCCAACATACATATATATATATGTGTGTGTGTGTGTTTATTTTTTTAATTTGATTTGCCAAAACTGGAACTTGTGGAAGGAATTTCTGAACTTTTCTTGTCTCAAGGACAGGAATCACTGCCAGGAAGGGTGACCGTGACGTGGTTGGGGTGGGTACCTGAATGCCCTTCATGGACACTGTCCCATTATGGACACTACGAAGCTGTTGGCTCTTCTGGTGGATTGCCCCTGATTTTTTTCTGCTGTTATTGTTCTGGGGTCAAGAGAGTTAATTTTACATTGTGGTGGTGATGGGGGCACATGAGAGATTTTGTGTAATGTTTTGCTGTTCTTTTTGCTGTGTCAGTTTTTCCAAGACTTGCTCTGAAAAATCTGGGTCAATCTAAGTTTATTAAATATGCTGAAGTGCTTTGTGTGATATTTTCATCTTAAGGCTCTGAACTCTGCCTCTGCTCAAGGAGTTTTAGCTGGAAGGTGTGGTGTGGGTGGGCATGGAGGCCCTGAGTTCTGTCTCCTTAAGGCCAGGCAATATTTTAAGCGTGTTTTTCAAGATTTATTGAGCTCTTTGTTAATGAGGAGTGTAAATGGTTGTGTTATCCTTAAACCCGGGTCACAGGTGCCCACTTACAGTGTAGCTTCCACAGGCAATGTGTTTCCAGGAGTGACCAGGTCACACAGGCAGCTCTGCTGATTCAAGACTTATTTTTAGTGCCTTGGCTGCTCTGGCTGGTGGAACAGCAGAGGAAGCTGGAGCTGGGATAGCCTCCAGCCCTCTCTGTTTGGCTGTGATTTCCCATTGTGTCTGTGAGTTAACATTTTTGGGAGGTGATCTGACAAAGACAAGCAACCAAATCTAAATCTTGGTCATCCCAGGATCTGAGTAGCTGAGCTACAGTAGCTGCTGTTGCTACTCACTGATAGAGCACATCAAAATAAACCAAAATGGCAATAATTGCATAATAGAAATCTTCCATCCAGATGCTTTTCATATGTGAAGGAAGTCAGTGTACTTTGACCAGGTTGTCATTCTGTGAATGCATGTTTGGGGATGATAAATGAGATTTACTGTAAGAAATGACCCAGCATGGTTGGGAGGGGGCAAAAGAAGTGTGAGAGCAGACCTTCTTTCCAGGAGTTCATTCAAATTCTTTCTTATTAAAGGTATCTGCCCATTTACTGTTGCCTTAATATAGAAGTATTTTCTTTACTGATTTAACTTGTTTCAGTTTTTGGTGTCTCTGTCAAGGTGATTATATCAGTCCAAGATATCATCCCATCAACATCCAGGTGATGAAGCTTTACACAGATGTAAATTCTGGTTTAGTGACTGCTCTGTTCACTGTGCTCAGCTCTTCTGGCCACATCTTTTACAGGCTGGAAGATTTATGAGCTGAGTAACTGCAGCAGATGTTGGTGGGTTGACCTTGGCTGGTCTCTCTATCACTCCCCTGCCATCAACAATACAGGGGAGAAAATATGATGAAAGGCTCTCTTAGGTCGAGATGAGGAGAGGAAATCATTCACCTCCTACTGACATGGGCTAAACACAGTCAATTTGAGGAAATTCCTGCCATTTATTGCCAATTAGCTGTAACAGAGTGTCCAAGGAAGTGTCCAAGGCCAGGTTGGACGGGGCTTGGAGCAACCTGGGCTAGTGGAAGGTGTCCCTGCCCATGGCAGGGGGTGGCACTGGGTGAGCTTTGAGGTCCCTTCCCACCCAAACCATTCTGGGATTCTATTCCCCTGCTGCCCAAAACCTGCCACACAAACCTATTACAAGATGAAATATCACAGCATCTGCATGGCATTGGTGAGGATTTAGTTATCTTAAATGCTTAGATTTCTGCTGATTCCAGACCTTGTAAAATCGCTTCTCTGACTGGAGCTCTTGGAAAAGATCTCTCCTCTGGTCTAGTGTGTTCCTGTATAGTAAATGCTTAGTTTTGAGTCTACTCAGGTGCCACCCAAGCTGTAGAACCTTTCCTTTCTTCCATGACAGTACAAGAACTTGCAGAAAAACAACCAGAATCCCAAACTGCAATATTGTAGAAGAGAAATGCTTGCAAACTGGTTCTTCTTTCCATAGCATCTCTCCCCTTCTGGATTTTCAGGGAGCTTGGTGGAAAATTTGGTCAAAGGAAGCACTGGAAAATTTGTCATATCTTTAAAGATCCATTTCAGTGTAATGGCTTTCAAAACAGATGGAAGCACCTACAGAGGGAACCAGTTTTATGACTGTTCTTAATGATTGCTAATCTTGCTTAATCCTGTTTTGGATTTGCAGCTTTTACTTACTTCAACTGCTTTTGATGCTTTGATAATGACCGTTCGTAATTCTGGGCCATTTCAAGGGGAAAAAAATCTTTTCTCAAGAAAGTTTAAAGTTTGATAGTTTGTGACACTGGTACTTAGCTTCCATCCCAGTTGCTGTCTTCCCTGTTGGAATAAAAGATGCATTTCCATTGCAGTTAGGCTGAACTAGTGTGGTGTCAGCCACCGGTGTGACTGGTCACTATCAGCCAGAGCTCCTGAGGTTGAACCTGGCCTAGATAAAGCCCAAGTCACAGCACTCTAGAGCAGCCTAGGTAGATGTGTGCAGGGTTTTAAACTTGGCCTAACAACGGGAGGAATTGGAGGTTTGCCTGCTTGCATTAGAGTTGGTGTTACAGCAGCTCGTCCAGGACTAATCCAGCTGTTCTCGGGATCACAGCTGGCTGCTCCTGCCCCCGGCTTAGCTGTGATACCTGTTGAAGTGTCATCAGCTAAGGCTCTTCCTGCAAGGCCCTGGAGCAGGTTCTGATTTTTGCAAGGGAGTTGCAAGAGGAAAACAAGTCAAACTCCTTCCCTTTTCCATTCCAACAGCCTGGGAAAAGTAGGTCAGCGTTGGCCAATCCTCCACATCCTACAAGCCACACATGCAGGTTTCATGGCCAGGAGCCATAAGGTTTGAGCCTCCTGCCAGCCCCTGTGCTGGCCCTGCTGTTTGCCATGTCCTGGAGTGCTCTGAGCTCCACCACTGACCACAGCAGGTGCCTCTGGATCAGGAGCCAGGGCTGGTACTGAAATATGTATCCATGGAAGATGTGGGTCTTAAAAAATGAGCAATGCTACTGACAACTGCTCAAGAGGTGCCTACTGCAGATCTCAGGGAGATCACCAAGACAACTAAATGCCAGATTTGTTTCCTTCCCAGTATTCTTTCCCTGATTAGGCTTAGCCAGTGCTGCAAGGGGACAGCAATGTTGGAAAAAGGTTC